TTAGAGTAGATTGGATGGTGATTTTTAAGACCATCGGCTAAGTTGTTCAAGTCGATCATTACGCCACAAGCAAGTAGATAAAAAATGGAAATTGAGGTTTGCTTGTATTTTCACGTGAAAGTTTGTCGTCTATCCTGCAAAAATAACATATTCATACTTTGCAAATTGCAAAACTGAATAATAAACTTACAGTTCAAACTAAATCAGAGACTTGGGGGAAAATCCTAACAATTCGCTACTACTTCAGACCAGATGAACCATGCAATTGGGGTGGGATTTTATAGCGAACGGGGAGGATAACAGTGTTACCCGAGACTTGAGCCATTATGTCATTACAACAACCGTTCGTGATGTCACCTCAGATGGTTTAATCACAGTGGGAATAGTTCAGGTGTTCTTTTGTGCGTCATGACATTGACGGATAAGCACATAGTGTTGACAATGGGAATCGGTTTGCACTTTCCAATCTGATCCACGCACCGCAGCTCGTCAAGCTGTCCGGCTTAAGATCGCCCACCACGCAATAGGGTTCTACCCCCTCAATTCTATTCACGCAGTCATCAGATTTGGCAACTTCCACCGCCTTGTCAATCAACCGCTGAGCTGTTGATGGTGTACCCTTCCTAATGACCCCTACGTTTTCGCAATCTATCTGGTGACCGGTGTCTAATGAATGTACAGCTAAGGCTGAGTCTCTTACTATTGTTTGATATTCAAACTCGTTGCTTGGTAGTCTTTAAATGCACGTCCTATGCTTTGAAATTTGTGTGCGTAATTATCTCGCTGTTTGGCCTATATACACATGTGCACAGTCCTTACATTTAATTTTATAAACACAGTTATTCGTCCTAACCTTGGGAAGAGGGTCCTTCAGGTGTACCAACGCCGAACGTAACGTTCGACCTCGCTGAAAGAAAACCCTTATATATTTCTTGTTTAGTACCCTCATAATTTCCTCCGAAGTGCCTTCCTTGTACGGAATTCCGACCGTCCCTATCCACTCGGCTGCGGGTCCTGACTTCCGGTGTTGCACTTTATTCAATCGACGTTTGAAAAGTCGCCGTGGGTAACCGTTTTATAATATTTTGCTCATTGCCACTTTCCGCTCAGCCTTTTCGTCTTCCTCCATCGGGCACAAGGTTTGTGCCCTGTAGAACAGCGTTGCGGCTATTCCAGCGTAAACCTGATCGGATGACCCTAAGTGTAGTGGAGTTCGCAGTCAGTATCCGTTGGATTGCGATATAATGTCGTCTTTAAATCTCATTCATTCCAGTGAACCAGACAGTCAATAAATGGTATTGTACCGCTACAAGATGCCAAATTAAAGTTAACTGTATTCTCCCATTATTGGGGTTTAAGTGATCAAGTAATTAGTCTTTATCCCGTTTAAAAAGTACAATATTGTCGTCTACATAAATCCACCAAAGTTTTGGTGAGTTAATGATGTTAGTTAACGCTCCGTTCTCGAAATCTTCCAAATCCAGTTTCGCCAATACAGGGGATATTGACGATCCCATGACGGGACCTGGTTCCTGACTGCAAAGCTTCGACTGAAAAACTGTTAGATTCGTTCGATCAATCAGAATGATGTCTTCATTTAGACAATATCTTGCTGTTCCTAGCGCCTCTGCTTTGGGTACATTGGTGAAAAGTGATGTGACATCGGAGCTGAACATCGACTCATCTGACTCGATTTCAGACTTGTTATATTTTGCGCGAACTCAAGTTTTTCACGAAGGTACTCATTCGCCCTGTTAGAGGCTGAAATAGCCTTGCTAAATATATAGCAAGTTCATGGGTCGGGAAGACTATATCGTCGACTATGGGCCGTACGGGGACTTCACGTTTGTGAAGTTTTGGCAAGCCATAAACCCACGGAGATAAAGTCGATTTTGTGTGGAGACCGTACCACTAGTCTGCCACTACATGGTTCTTCACGGTTCTTAAATAGTTACTAACCTCCGTTTTACTCTTGTTCATTACTGACGCCACTGTCTTATCTACAACTACTCTATATGGACCCGTCTTCAAATGGTGTCACATGTTTCCATGTGTTCTGACTTATTCATTGCAACCAGGGTTTTTCCCTTGTCAGCCTTTGTAAGTACAATGCTGCAATCTTCCTTCAAGGAATTTAATGCGATAGTTTCAGTTTGTGGAAGAATTGGGTCACCCGGTTGCTGAAAGTAAATGATATTTACTAACTGTGCCCGAATATTCTCTGCCTTCCTAGCGGGCAAAATTGTCACCGCGCTCTCAATACTTAGGATAATCTCTTCCGCATATATCTCAGGTTTTTTGATGGTAAATGTCAACGCTTTTTCCAACCATCTACATTCCGTCTCATTCAAAACCCTATCTAACATTTAACTACATTACAATAGGTACTAATAGACCCGGAACTGTCATTAGGACCAGTAGCATTATGATGCACAGACATTAAAGACTCGAACTTACGCATATGTCTTTTCTTTGCATCCTGCGCTTTATTCAGTTTGGCGTCTAAAGCCTTATTGAAAATTTTGTTGCAGTCGGGATTCGTTAAGGCGGTCTGTAGTTACAGGCTCAGCCGACTCGCGTCAATGCGGATCTTGCCTAAACGTTTGGTCACTAGGTAAATCCGCTGTTTCAGAAAGGCCATGGAAGTATTTAATGCCATCCTTTCAGAGGCGTACGTACTGTCCGGAGGTTTCATCTTAGATATTTGGGGAACAGATTAGTCATAAGACATCTCATTTTGGAAAAGAGATGATTCTCTCAGTTCGCTTCAAGGCTCGCCAATCGAACGAATTCACCTGACAGTTTACGAACACTGGGTCCGTGCGTGGTTTCAATTAGGAGGGGCGTACGATCAACACCTCAGCGGTTGATTGACAAGGCGGTGGAAGTTGCCAAATCTGATGACTGCGTGAATAGAATTGAGGGGGTGGAACCCTGTTGCTTGGGGGGCCATCTTAAGCCGGACAGCTTGACGAGCTTCGGTGTGTGGGTCAAGTTGGAAAGTGCAAACCGATTCCCATTGTCAACACTATGTGCTTATCCCTCAATGTCATGACGCACAAAGGAACACCTGGTCTATTCCCACTGTGATTAAACCACCTGAGGTGACATCACGAACGGTTGCTGTAATGACATAATGGCTCAAGTCTCGGGTAACACTGTTATCCTCCCCGTTCGCTATAAAATCCCACCCCAATTGCATTGATTCACCTGGACTGACAAAGCTCTTGTGTCAAGGGCTAAAGCGTTGAAGACGGATAGCTCAGGTTGTTCAGATGGCGATTGAACTGTTCGCTGAGCTTGACACATTTGCCAAGCTCAGCGGACAGTTCAACCGCCATCGTTACCAAACTACTATACCAACCGATTGTTTCCAACCCTCTCTGAACTCATGGCTACTCGGTCGGTTTTAGGTATCTTCCAAGAATTTGAAATCGCTACTACCGTAAACTTTTCCTTGAGAACAAATTTACCTGTTGAACTTGCTAAGCTAAATGTTTCTGACATACAACGAAATCTGCACAGATATGTCAACAGCCCTCGTAGAATAAAACATGACACCACCACGCTTTTCACAACGGAATGCGATTCACAAATCGCGGAGTTAATAGCCAATGCCATGTGGCAAGCCTACGACAAGCCCTTCAAATGCATAGCCTGATCATGTCACATTCCGTCAGATACTTCATCAACCTTCAGGTTAGCATGAATTCTGTTCAACCTAGCAATTTGCATGATTAGGTTGTTTCACTGCAGGCTCACAGCTCTCTGGGAGCAGACAACCTTTGCATGAAGTCACTGGGGCTAACGGCTACTAATTTAGTCGAGCCTAAGTTGAGGTTCTGCCAACGTTGAATCAACGAAAATCAAGCCCTTACCATAACGTGTTAACCGCACGGCACATAATGCCATTAAACAAGGTGTTTCCAAATTTCACAACAAGAGGAGTTATAGTTATTACATTTGAACATCTCGGGTACTTTATTCATGTTTCAGGTCGGACACTATGGTGAATCTACCAAAACGATTTTCATTTTCTTATAATTAGTTTACCCTAATAGTTGCATTGTACATGACCTAGACAGCATTGGATTTTTACTCCTAATATGCCACGTTTACGTTGTTTCATTGCTAAGTTTATTCCGGTTTTTCATTTTAGTACTGGGCTGTACCTTGTTCTAAGTTGTTCACCACTTCAACAGTCCAAATAACTTAGTGCAATCATACTACTTTTTTGTTACTCTTACTCATCTTAATTGCTTGTAGAATGATTCAAAACCATCGGCCTTCTCCAAAAGACGTATGACTGGCAACTCTCTTAATATCATACGCTGCAAAGAGTGATTTATTTCTCAAATAATCCCTTGAGGATAAAATAATACCATAGTAGCCTTCACTTAGTATACTGGCAGCAATGACAACATGGCTTCAGAACACCACCCTAGTGTCCACTATACGTCAAATATCGTGAGAAATGTTACCTGACGTTGAGATTGTAGGTATGATCTAAATAGAAACAGTTATCACAAAGACATGGTGTAAGTTGACTGAACCCGAATGGGTGAATCAGGATTGAATGTAATGTCTAAGTGGTGTCTTCAGAAAACACTGCACCCCGCGACCGGTTCCGAAATTCTTTGTTTTATCAGAGAGAGATAGTAAGCACTAGCACCTCCTGGACTTCGGGTATTCTGCCAAAAATCCTACCCCAAAGACACCTGGTGAGCTGCAACCAAACTGAATCCGTCTCAACAGTTACAGTCCGATTGATGGCGTTAATCATGGTTTAAATGAAGCGTATCACAGTGTACATTGACGCTACCAATCGCAAGCAACTCACGCAACAAATGGATGAAAATACCCGGATTGTACGTGCGTTACCGAACAGACAATTTTCCGTCCCAAGCGAACTGCAGATATCATAATCATATGTAATGGAATGGAATGGTTAAAATGATGTAACCGATTGACTCAGACAAATGACAAAATTTGTTCGGTAGTTAACTTTGGATAAAACGTTTCCACGCACCTGGAGGCTGCAACTTAACCAAGAATGCTTTCTTTCCTAGCATATGCTCCACTTCGCATAAATATTCACCATGATCTTCTGCAGTAACTGTTGGGAAGAATAATCGGTACACTAGTGTCGGTATCTTCATTTCATTTTCACTCGCCATGAATCCACTCTGAGGACGATAAACCATGGTATCCAGTAATCGCGACTGGGCAGTTGCAAGGTTTACCAAAACCACATCACTCCATATACGTTCTTGCTGGGGCATTGTGTCACTCTGAGTGTATTGTCTGTCTGACGCAGTCAACTGCTTCCGAGAAGTGATTTGCACATTGGGCCAACTGCCAGTTGTGATAACTTTGAACCATGTATAATTAAGACTTGTTGAGCGATGGTTGGATGCATTCTGACGTATTTCACAGAAATTCTCTCGCCTGGGTGTTCTGTATCCTTCGAGCATAGGTGTGTTTATGAGCGGGTGCGGAAAAGCCCATACATGAAGTTCTAACACAGCCCTAAAGCCAGTTGGCGCTGTGAAGACTGTTGCTCCCGACGGGACTAGTTCTGGGGGAACTGAAAAGTAAATGTACAACAAAATGTTGCTTACCTCTACAGCCGTATTTAACACAGATCACAAAGCAGGGGAGTGACTAATGGGTTACTCGCAAACTACTTTCCCTCGGTTTTTCAAGGAGTTCTAATTCCTTCATTAATTATTACAGAGCAATAGGATTTCAAAATGTCTTAAGCTAGTAAGGAAGAGTACTGGCATAAACACCAATAGAAGGCAAATTTATGGAAGATATCATAAGACGCGTGTTTAATTCGCTGTTCAGAATGTTAGATAAACAAAATTTGGTATACTTGCAATTTGCTTCTCAATTTCACTCTGCAAGACTAATCCGTTCTCAGCAAAACAAACATGGTGACGCGTCACCGTTAACCCCTCTTGTCGACTGAAATAAAATGGGCGGAAAGGCATTAAGAAACAAGAGAAGACTTGTATTTTTCTACGCGGATTTCATTTTCTAAACAGCCATTTTTCTGGAATATAGCACTTCAAAATTTAGTCATATGACCCTGTATGTCGTTTGGACGCTTAATTTTAGTGCATTTTGTCTTCAAATGTAACGGCCTGCTTAAATTTAGGACTGGTCATGCAATTTGAATACTTGACATTTTCTATTTTTGTCACTGTGTCCAACTGTTGACCATAATGTTGTTGAACAGCAGGCGTTCAACCGTTCGCCTTTCATCGGAAATGTGCAACCTGATCATACGCTTGACGGAGGAACATAATGCGTTCTCGGCGACAGATCTCTCATGCGTTAGGTAGCAAAATTCCGAGTCTTCATAACGAACAAGGCATGATTTGTTTAGTTGAAACTACCGCTTATATGCTTCATTATCATAAGCCTGGAGTTGCGAAGATCTGCCAAATGGGGCCGAACACTCTCCAACGATAATCTAATAACCGAAAGTTTGAGATGTGTTAAATATTCTAAAGGAATCAAGGGTCGCCATCCCCTTTTCACCGAATTCGTATCAGGTTAAAACATAACAGATCATTACTTTTTATACTACCCCAGTTGCGATACTATGAGTGACACTGCAAAAATCTGGTAAGAACATTTTGAAAAGATATTGAATTACAACCCTTTGGCGTCCATTTTACCAACTGATCTAACGACATATGCACCAACCTATATTCTATCCAATTGACTCAACTGCGAATTGAGTGGTTGTCATGTGGTCTAATGTCTTGTGTTCCTACAAAAAATATAAATAATGAGGAAACAAAGTTGTAGACTTCATTCTTGTATGGACCGAATATTGGCCATACGTCAACGTGCAAAATAACGAGTGGCGGCTGAGAGCAAAACTTGTTGATCTGGGACATCATTACGGAATGGCGCCCTATAGACAAAGACACCCTATAATCCAACTACTTAGATGCTTTAAAGCGGCTCAAATCTGAGGGAAAAGTATTGATCCTTCCCCCAGACAAGAAATCAGGTGCCACATACTCCCAGTACGTTACTTAATAATTGTACAAACTTTCTACCGGACAGTTGTCTTGATAAGTCGGGATACCTACGGAAAAGGATAAGCAGGTAACTGCAGTATCTGTTAGAGGGCACATACATGACCCCTGTTGCCATAAATTACTTGACATTCTCGGGCACCAGGAACACTTAGTCCTATGGGCTGCGCAAAGTGCACATGATGGAGTTAACACTTATGTCCATTTTATTAATAAGCAACGCAAGCTGGCTAAATCGCTATGGCTATACTTGCGCGAATTCGGAAATAATAGTTAAGCACAGACTGAAATATACTTTTGAATTAGTGAGATTACTGTATGGTATCCAGCTGTGTGGAAGCTCACCAACTATAATCGATTTAATCGCCCGACCCAACAGTGTATGCTGAGTGAAACTATACACATTATATGCAACTGACTGACTAAAAGCCACTTATATCCAAGTCTTTCAACTTCCAAACCAAAACTGTTTCTGCGCACCTGGAACGCAAATTTGGTTTTCATAAATGGGTATCGGTAGGTAGAGTGTGTTGCTATGGGTAAACCAGTCTGATCACCAATGGCGGATGTTTTCATTACTAACTTTGAAAATCTTGTCAGAACTGAAATTCACAAAGCACTAGTGTTTTCTGATACATGTCAAGTCAGGTTAGGTCAAGACGATTTAAGCTTTATCTACCCAGGTGGGTACATTTTATGCATATTAGTTGGGGATGTTTTAAAGTATCATCACAAATGCAGAGTTTTACAACAGGGAATAATGGCATTAAGAGTACAAACGGCACTGACAGAAGCGGTCACGTATCTAGATTCTGTTGAAGGTACGGTGTCGAGGTCCAGCTTATCAACCTTGACAATAATATCATAAATTATTAAAGGCATTTTGACAACACCGAGGATTATGCGTAGTATCCCGAAGTGGATTTTCAAAAGCCGACGAAAGACAACCTTACCGACTTTGCAATAAGCTAAAGGAATAAGACTACGAAAAAATCAAAAGCTGTTAGATACGCAGAAGTTAAAGTAAATGCAAACTTTAGGGAAAAGGTGACGGCTGATTTAAAGGCCCCGCCAACAGCGGCATCCTGCGAGGGTAATATCTTGCGAACAAGAGCAGCGAGTTCTCCAACCCATCAGACTAAATGACATGCACGTAACTATCAGGGTGATAACAGTTAGTGTGCCCAATGATAGTATGCCGTTTACCGATGTGCGGTTTTAAATGCGGAAACGTTAACTCAATACGCAGATCGCGCTTGTGGCGCAGCTTATATCGATCGACCGGCAAGGCACTTGTGCAAACGCGTGAATGAGCACCACGCCCTCTGATTTCATCAAGGCGGAACTGAGGCTATTAGCAGCGCCGTTCTGGCCGATATTGTCGACAATAGACACCAACTTAATCTACAAAGCGCACATTCAGGATAATTTACAGGTTCTTCCAGCAGCAACCCAGAGATCTGCTTCTCCATGCTCGGTCGACAGCTGAAAAGATCTTTTTCGGATGTTATTGTGACCGCGAAATGGTTGGTGCACGCTGTTCAGTTTCCCTGGCCAGCTAGAAAGGACGATGCTGAGGTCGACTGCCGCAGATCAAGCTCGGTACTATGCCATCGACCTGTTAGTTCAAAGGTCAACTTCAACCCTTCACACTAAACGGTCTCGTGTTTTCGAATTTGACAACAGTTAGGGTGTTGTATTGCGCGTTGCTCAGTTTGGCTCTAATCTGGTGAGAAGTCGGTTGACAGATGGGGAAATGACAAGCGTTTGCGCGTGCGAGTATTTGTGTGCAGTTGTGTGGAAGCGTACTTTCAAATTCGGTAGCTTTATTAACTCTTTGCTATACTATAAATCTGCACGGGTTTTGTAGTACGCAATTAGCAATGGGCAGTTAAATTTACGCGGATATACATAGTGCAATAGTTTGCTATTAAAAATTTTGCTAGGTTGCTTACTTGCTGACCGTTGTCAGAAGCTTAACCAAGTCTACTTTTGGTGTGAGCAAGTTGGGTGGCAAAGGAATCTATACAGCTAGCAGCATCACTTCAGTTTCAGCAGTTGCAAGTCCAAACAAAACAAGGAGATTTTGCGACTGCTGACTTGACAAGTAGTCGGTAAACAAACAGCATCGTCTTGTCCATGGCTTAGAAGCAAAGTGGCAAGCCTACGTCGTCAGTTTTAAGTGGCTCGTCGCAGTAGTCCAGACGATATACTAACATTCGCTTTTCGATTGCCCTGCTCAGGCAATCGAACTTACATCCCATTCAGCTTGTGTGACTCATCGGTATGATAGGCTAGTCTACGTCACTACCTTAGTGTCTCCCGTGCTAGTCACTTGGTTAGGGGTCATAACGTTTGTGCCCACACTGATAATCATGTGGTTGCAACGCTTGCAACCTATTTTATCCGCGGACAGCGTGCATGGTCGTGCTGTAGGAAGGGGAGAAGGATGCTTCAGGGATGATTACCTTCATTAGCATCAAGGTAGGTGACTTCGCATGATGTGATGACCTTAGAGTTAAATCGTATAACCCTTGCTCTTGACATTGCGTAGACCACTTCTAAGGAGCGCTGAAAGAACCCATCGCTATCCACAACCCACATATGGATGACACTGACAGCAGTCTCACTGAAGCAGATGCCAACTGGTTGTAGGTTACTATACCTTCAGCTCTACTCCAGATGGTCGATGGAAATGAGGGTAACAAATCCCACAGGCATGAGGGACATTCATGAGGAAATAAAAAAAGAAATCTGGGCAAGCAATGTATGAACTACACTGGTGTAATGAAACACGGAAAAATAGAACCATGCACGCAAGTTAACTAGCTGGAACAACATGGACGGCGTTCTGTTAACTCCTAACCGACATTCAAGGGAGGCGTTCCGAAGATTTCGTTGAACCTGTCAACACGCAGGGTATTTTAACTAGACAAAAGGGGGGAGATTCACTGAGTATCAATTACTTTATGATTATGACTCTGCTTTACTCACTTTATTTCATACGGACACGGAACACAACGCATGGCAATGTGCACATAAGCTTATTCACAGCGAACTCCGTTTTTCCCACGTATATATGGGAATGAGCTCATATAACATATGGGAAACTATGTCACACCGGTTGACCTATCGCTGCAGAATTGTAACATTTGATAAGTTATTCTGACGCATGTAGCACAACTAAGTTCAGTGAAAGGTAATTCGTTTAAACGGAAGATGATGTGTTGAGATAATCAGAGGGAGATACATCTGTTACCGTATTAACGCAACTCAGTTTCACAAGTGTTACGCTTTACCTGCACTGCGTCAGTAATCAAATGGTAGAGCATACATATAACAACTTGCACCTAAGAATGTCGACGGCAAATATTGATGAAAATGTTCCGAGAAACAACGAGAGTTATTGACTCCTAAGAAACAGTATCAGCAGACCATACAAGGGTCCGCCAACTCTCACAACTGCTGTCTACACCTTCCACCAAACTTTATCGTACAAGGCGCTTTCATGTTTTCCCACCAAGGCACA